TAAAGTGCATGACAAGCGCATTGACAACGTCATTGGGCTCGTAGTGTTATAGCGTAAATTTGTATAAAAAATTCACATCTACCTGCAAAAATGTAAGGGAACTCACTTTGCGTTACAGATTTGATAAAATTAAACTTAAGTAATTTTCTAAAAAAAAAACGTTTGTTATAAATTTTTACTTGAAATTTTAAATAACAATTTCGGAGATTCCGTATACACGTCTATAAGCTTGTGTTAATATTTGTTCTTGAATACGCTGATCCATCGTGATAATGATGTCTTCTGAGATTCGCGTGACGCGCTTGCTTGGGTTTGGTAGCAAAAACACTTTAAGTGCTTTTCAATGGAATATTAAAGTATAAGCGGAAAGCGTTTATATATTTATTGTATAAGTGGGCTTGGAATTCAACCTGTAATAAGATAACTAATTATTGACTTTCATACTAACTTTGACTAAATCAGAGTTAAATATGGCTATGAAGATTTTCATATGTATATGCAATTCTCAGTGCTATTGGAAACTCTTCTCACCAGTAATTCGTAATTACACCGTATTTTCGTACCTTCGTTCATACCTCAAGTGACAGAAATATACTCTACGGATTTACATAAACACATTGCTGTTCACGAAAAATAATATAATTTTTCCAAAGTTCTATGAAACCGAGGCTTGTATTATTATTATTATTATTAAATGGGAATTTTGCCTACGGTAAGGTAATCTGAAGGCACACAAAACCTTCCGCTTTCTCTCTATCTATTGAACAAGTAAAAAAATTATATTGAGTTATGATCGAATCTTTTGTACACTAATCACCGTAATTCAAAATTGTCGCACTCTACAATATCCAATGTGTGGATGTGATTGGATTGACTTTTCCTATTCTTGCAGTAAAATTTATAGGATATATGTGTTGTACTCTATGAGCAACATGATGCAAGAAACATGGAAAACAAAGGAGTTTACACAGTTCTTTTATATAGAAGTGTGGGCGTTGTTGTGGGCGTGTTCTTTTGCAAATTTGTAAACGATATCTTCATTATAGCGACATATACTATACAGTCGCTTAGATGGGCACGTGGACAGATCAATGGACGAATATGCTTAGGAAGATTCCGAATTTGATATTGGCAAGGCGCTTATATAGATTTTACGGAATTGTGGAAGCTTGCTTCTCCATTTTTGTACAGGTACTAAACTAGATAAAGTACAACACATACACATACCATGTAAATTTCCATTTTTAAGTTGAATATAGAAAAACATCAACCACACTCATCCAATATTATAGGGTATGAAAATGTAGTTCTTTTCGGTTCGCGGTGATGGCTTTAAAAGGATTCGGTCAGGACCGAACATCATTTTCTTACTGGTTTTGTTTACATTTTTTTTATCATCATTTTCTTATGCGTCACTTGTGTGATTAGTGTGAGGGTAGCCTCGTTCTTTAGCAAAGAGAAAAATGCGAACAAGGCACAGTGGCCCAACTTCACTGCACTAAAACGCTGATTGTCGGTGAACGCGAATTGAATGAAGATAACGTATTTGCACGTATTTCTACAGAAAACTCTTTAGGCTGTCGGCTCTCCAATGCATATGATGAACTCGGCTGCTTAACCATCGGCTGCCATCGACTGATATATTGAGAATTCTGTTGATCCTCCTCTTTTTTTTTTTTTTTTTTTTTGAACCACGCGATCAGATCATGCGGATGAGTTTGAGGCGCGTTTCGGTGGGTGGCCTTTCAAATACGAGAATATAAAAATATCGTCAACGGTTTCGCGAGGGTATCTTAACTTCTTCTCCATGGCAGATATTAATGTTGACAGATTACAACACCTTTTTAACGTTGCACTGCTTGGCGTCGCGTTATTTTAAACGATCGCGGAATGCTTGTTCCGAATTTCTGCTTTCTATTTCTAAAAAAGTGAGGGGACGTAGTCTCCGACAATTCAAGTGTTAATAGGCACGAAACATTCTAAATTCTGCAGAGCATGCAGCATAAACTTTCTAAGCGTCAACGTAGATGCTTTATATTACAAGGTCACGGGGTCTTGCTTGATTTCAATTTCGATTCTTCTTCATTGTAATGCACTCAGTTCGCTGCACTTTAGCTTTAGTTGGGCGCTGGGCATTGGGACGTAGAAGGCGACTTTTTTGCAGCCAAATTCCTTCCTTCCTTCCTTCCTTCCTTCCAGCCCTTTTGAAGTCACCTAAGTCACTTAAGAAGCTTAATTCGTTGCTTACATAAACATTGTTTTTGTTCATAAAAGTGACTAAACCATTCTCACCTTTGACTATTGGCTTCGATAACACACATCTTACTAATGAATAGCGCATATTTTCTCGGGTGCATGGAGAGCAGTACAACAATTTATTAAAATTCTTGCATAAAATTTGTGATTACGATTATCTAACAATTAAGTAAAAGAATTCTATGCATATTTTTATAAAAATGAAATAATTTCCTAAGAGTCTTAATAATCGAATAATCGAATAGTAAGTATAAGGAGTATCAGGCGGCTGACTAATAATGGTTTATACCATTTTTAACAGTAATACCATTGAATCCAATTATAGATTATCATACGATTTCATTTCATTATCTGATTAAATTTTTCAGATAACGCCATTGTTAGCAGAAAAAAAAAAAAAAAGCAATGGTTTTGCCGTTTGTTAATTGACGTCTTTGAAAACAGCTTTTGAAAAATATAAATAAATGCTAATCGTAAGCAAGTGACAGTAGAGTTTGGGAAAATCCCTTTCAATTTCTTTCAAGATTAGACAATGAAATTAGTGCATGAGTGCCGAGAGTATAAAGTTAAGCGTGTGCTTGCACTCGCATATAACGATACAAACGTTACGACTCACGTATAGGCAGGCGGCAATGCGAAATGCGTTTCTTCTTCTCCCTCACACATTTGCGAATTCGTTAATATAATAATCAAAACATAAACAAAAAAACAATTCCAAAAAAAAAAGAGCGAAAATTTTATATATAACACAAAGGAATATATATATATATATATATATATATATATGTAGATATATATGCATGTATGATGCATTTTCAAGTGTGTGGTCGTTGTTTTTCCCCCACACACAATACCGTCTACAACTACAAGCTTAACTTGCTACGGCATGCTAGAAGTGTTAAAGTTTGAATATACTTAACTTGACTAAAGTTAGTTTAGTATAAGCTAGCGTAACGTATACAACGCTTCATAACCTTTTCCGTCTAAATTTTAATAAGGCGTTACATTTCAATTGATTAAAGCTCCGACTTTAATTTTTATTCTTCTTTCTCCTCGTTTTTATACAATATAACGGTTAACAGAAAAGTGTTTAGTGAAAAACTAAAATAATACCTTAACTAAATTGTAAATGATAGTGGATTTGATTTATAAGGACGGACAATATATAAAATTATTATTATCCTATGTTTACATATTTAACTTAAAGGTAAGTGCTTTTACTTAATTGAACGATTTGTTCCGCCATTTTCTTAGCATACCCGCCACAACTATTACAGAAAATATTCAGTTTTATGGGAATTTTTGCGAAACATCCAAAGGATATATATACGTACTCTTGAATTCCAAAAAAGATTACAAGACGATGCAGTTTATATATTCCTTACGGACAGAAAAAAAAAAAAAAAGATTTAGAATAAAGTTCAGTTTTCTGAAGGACAATAGGAAGGAAGGAAAATAGTTAAAGGACTAAAACAGCTATGAAGGAACGTCGGACTCGCTTGAATAAAGCACTGAGAATATATATGTGGCAAGTATGTTAGCCAGAAGTCTAGGAGTTACCCTGTGGAAAAATAATACGCCTCACCAATGCTAAAGCCAATGACTAAAGGTAGATGAAATTTGTTTGATAAGTCTTTGAACCTGCTCGCCTAGACCCACTAGATTCTAGGTGCCAGGTCCCAAGTTCTTAATACTAATAAAAAATGTTGTACCAATAAAAGTCATAAACAGATCTTTGCCAAGTGCTTGCAAACGTACGCCTAACAGCTTTTAAGTATTCGCTATCCATTGTCCTTGTGATAAGTTGACGGACGCAAGGGATCGAAAAGGCAGCACAGATCACTCTAAGTTGTGCAAAAAATAGTAGTAGTAGTAGTAGTAGTAGTAGTAGTAGTAGCGAGAGGACTAAAGCCTACACAATTAACGCGTAAAGGAGATGAACTGATGCAAAGGCAAAGCATTGCTTTTATGTTTCCTTTCATCGACACGAAAACAGTCTTCAGTTAGCGGTTATCGTTTGGTTCAGTCATTACCTACGACTCGAGCATTCTTAATATTAAGTCGACCTACGGATACTGAGATTCAGAATTAATTCGGAATTCAGTATTGAGCAACATGTTGCAATACGGAAGTGTTTACTAGGTTCGAGAAGAGTGTGTAAAATTTGGGCTTGGCCGCCTCCAGAGCCAATCTACTGTACTCGGCGTTAATTCTGTCTTTGCCTTAGACCTTCAACTCGGGCGGAACTCAACGAGTACGCCAACTTTGGGAATACAAATTTTGTATACACTTGTTATTGCGGACCAGACCAAGGCTATTGGTCCTTTCGCTTATAGAAGCCAGAAATACGCATCACAGATCTGTTAAAGTGCCCGCAACCGTAACCAGTGCGCGTCCTTCCAGCTGGCGTCGGTGCTTGTCGCTCAACCAGTCACCGCACATTTGATGGGCAGTGCAAATGTACCGCTGGTATCTAAGGAAGTGAATAGTTTTGATCGCGGAACAGGCTGCCAGCAAATATCAATGCAAACTTTGTAGTTGCGCAGAGCATGAAAGGTCTTTTTTATCGATCAGATCGTCGTTTTGCTTTACAATTAATCCCACCCACCACTTTTCACTTTTACACACATGCGCACACACACACACACCCATTATCTATAGGCGATAGGCTTTCGAAATTCGCAAAATAATTATTTCGGTCGGTGCATATGCTTGAGCAGACAAACAGCACTTACTTATAGGATATGACTTTTAAACGTTACAAAGGCGAAGACAATGAATGCAAAAAAACGTATAAAAGAAAAACGAGCTCTAAGTAATTTTTTGTGTTTTTTTTTGCTAATTCTTCCTTTTTGCAGTGATTTGTATGGCTGGGACAAAAATTGCAAGTAAACTTAAAGAAATCACGTCCGAACAACTCGACGCACAACGTTGTTGCAACGATATTGCGGCGAGAGGAAACAGTGGCAACGATAATCAACGGCTTAATCACATTAAAAAAGAGACGAACAACAATCTTCATTGTAACGAGAATTATAATTTGTTCATTACAAAGAGACAGCAACGCCCCCTAACACGCTCGTTGTTAATAATGTTGATCATAATCATAACATTAGTGCAAATGCCACAAAATAGTAGAGTAACGGCAGCAGTTATTACAAAATACCAACAGCAGCTACTATCAGATGAATCCGCGGAAAAGCTTTCCTCGTCATCATCATCATCATCATCATCAGCCACATCATTGTTATCATCATTGTCACCGGTATCGCTATCGTCATCGCCGTCACAATCGTCGTCGTTGTCGTCGTCGTCGCCGTTGTTGTCGTCGTTGTCGTTGTCGTCGTCGTCAGAGTTGTCCTCATCATTATCATCGCTAGAGTTATTAAATTATATGCAAAAACATTCACAACAACTTGTTCAACAGACGCAACGAAGTACAAGACTACGCAAACGTCACAGTAATTATTTGTATTTTCATAATAATATGCATGAGCATCCAACCAATGTCGAGTGGCAAAATCCATGTGGCGGTATTTTTGAACCACAAACAACAAACGCATATGATGATCATTTCTTAAGGCCACCTGTCAGACATGTAAGCATTACGAACTATAAAAAATGAAAAAAAAAAAAAAAATATATATATATATATATATATATTTATATATATACATATGTATTGTATATTTATAGATATATATATATATAAATATATTTATTTTTTTTTTCGGGCTTTTCTTTCATTTAGTATTTGAAACAATTGCGACGTACTGCCGGTTTCGAATATCGGACTCTCAATGAGACGCTGAAAGACATTGACACCAGTGACATGGCCACTTGGCGTTTGCATCGCAGCCGTTACAAGTTTTTGCCTGCCCTGAAATCTAATTCAAGTGTAAGTATATATTTACAAAACGTATCTCGCATATCTCGTGCTTTAAAAGCTCTCTTTAAGTTTAAGGTTAAAAACACTACACTACACTACACACATACACACACACACACATACTACACACACACACACACAGTTTAGCTCTAAAAATGAAAAATGTTTGTTTCAACTTTTCGGTTTCATTGTCATACACGTGAGTGAGTGAATGAATGATGCGCGTATAAATGACGTCAAAATTGATGTTCGTTTTTAGTGTGATTGTAGTTGTGAACTGTTCGACACTTGCATACGCATCTAAACGAAATATTTACATTGCTTGCTATATGCGTCAGCCATGAGAATACTTTAGTGAGGATTTCCAAACACCACATCTGCCCACTTATGTATATCACTACTATGTATGTCAACCCTTGCACACATTTTCATTTACCTGACCTCATATCACTGACGATTCGAAGGCAATGCACAAAAAACTATGGTGATCGCAAGAGAAAGAACATTCTCTTGTGATAAGCTTGTGCTAATCTAATAAGAGAAATATATGTGAATTTATCAAAGGAATTTCCCTTTCAAAATATCACAAAGGCAGACAGAAAATCCTCCAAAGAATCCAGCTTTTATAGTTCATCTGCTTCGTTTTCGTTTCCTTAGCTTTCGCGCAAACTTTCTTTGAGCAAAGCTTGTCCGCTTTGCTTAGGTTATACAATCTCGAGACGAGTGCATCCGTTTGTGAGAATAGTTCGAGGACTTCATTCAAGTCACTTTACGCTCAACGAATCACATACACATGCACATGCACTTGTAAGCATATTTTGTTGATCGTAAAGTAACGGCTGATAGGCTGACTGATGTCGTTCATGCTTCATTGATCGATCAGCAGAAGCTGTAGAGCTCTGATAGGTTTCCAAAGCTACGTAGAAGCAAACGTTCAATGGTTTCGCTGAGCTTCTGCCTTATTACTCGTGATTCGAATTGCGTTTGAATGAAACTTTGCGTTAAGAAAATGTGTTTTTTTTTTTTTTATGTATAGTGAGAGGGTTTGCCGTTATTTTAAGCTCAGTACACTACGTTGAATATTTAAATTCGCGACGCACAATGGCACGAGTTAATTGGTTAAACGATAATGTGCGATGTGCGTACGCTCGAAAATCGATTAACAATTCAAATCGAAAAGCATTTCAAGATTCGAGCGATATCTTAAGCGCATTGAAGTTAACGGACGACTGCTAGCGCACGTCGGCTTATGCACGAGACTAGAGATTAGAGATTAGAGAGAGTAGGTCCAAATTGCTTTCTATTTAGAATGCGTAAAGTGTGCTAGCTAATTAGAAAGAAGAAGAAAAATAACAACAATAATAAGAACAATAACATTTGACTGAATGTCAAAGGCAGACAATTGTTCAAGCAGCTGAGTGCATTCGCGTAAGAATATTTCAAAATCGCTGGCAAACCTGGCATTGTATAGATTTGAATTTCTATGTTAATGACTTGCAGCAACTCATTAATCGAATCGAAAATTTTGGAAAATATATGACAGACTGAAGCGAGATTTATTTTGAATTTGTTATCGTAAAGAGTTTTTTTCCACTTCGGAGTCTGACAACAAGTCAACTAAACGAATTTTCAAAGGATTCTTACAAAGACAGTTAGAGAGTTGATCTTGGCTTCTTTTTCTCATTGAAATGTTACGAAATTTCATTGTAATACCTAAATATATATATATATATATATACGAGTGTATGTAAATTACGATTTCTTCAACATAAGAAGGTGCACATTATAATATGCGCTAACTTGACAATCGCCACCTTTGGGGCTTTTTGTTCACATATATATATATATATATATATATGTATGTACATATATAACTACTACAAGTATAAGATGTTAAAGCATGACAGCAGGTTCAACAAGTAAGAGCAAAAGCTGCCATTTTGATATGGACAAGAAAAATTTACCAAAGAAGTTATACAGAAGGTATTAAGGGCTTCACTGCATGATGTATTTAATGGTAGGCGGCTGTGAAAGAAGCGAGGCAAAGCGAAAAGATAAAAAGAAAATAAAATGTTGACATAACTTTTTTGCTTCTGGTACCCACTTGTGTCTACACTTTATACATATATATATATATATATATATATATATATATATATATATAC